AGCAACACAGCAACAGTACAAACCACCACCACCAGCCAGCACCACAGCAGCAGCAGTACCACCCACACCACCACCACAACAGCAGCAGCAGTACCACCACCACCACAGCAACAGCAGCTGTACCAGCCACCACCACAGCAACAGCAGCACCAACCACCACCACAGCAGCAGCAGCAGCAGTACCACCACCACCACAGCAACAGCAGCAGTACCAACCACCACCCACCACAGCAGCAGTACCAACCACCACCACACTACCACCACAGCAGCAGCACCAGCCACCACCACCACCACAGCACAGCACCAGCCCGCCACCAGCAACAGCCACCACAACAACAGCAGTATCCAACCCCACTTCATCAACCATACAGCTCAGCGCAGCAACACCCACCACCCAGCCCCAGCAGCCGACTATCGACTCCACAGCATCTTCAAGGCAGATGTCGCGGATGTGGTGAGTTTTTTCGGTTCCCTCACAATTGCCCTCATAGAAACACAATATGCAGCTACTGCGGTATAACTGGTCACCATACTAAAGTTTGCATGCGTGCATATTATGCTCAAGGCAGTCAGTCACAAAGTATGCACGCCTGATTCTCAACATTCTGGGGTCAGGCAAGAGTCAGATTTTGTATCTCTTGTGGCACCCTTGACAAAGAACACTGTTCATGTCAAGGTGAAACAAGTCAGAACATTAGCTCTTGTTGACACAGGTGCCTCAGTTAGCTGTGTCAGCATGGGTTACTTACGCAAGATAGGTATCAAACCCTTTCATTTAGGTCCATCTCACCTCACTGAAATCATTGGTGTAGGAGGTGAAAAACACTCTGTGCTAGGTTCTATCTCTCTTGACATCAACATAGGTCACATCTATCTCTCTCAAACCTTTCATGTCTTCCATAACCTACATCACTCACTCATCTTAGGCATTGACTTCCTTGAGTCCAACAAAGTCACCATAGACCTGCCCTCAAAGTGCTTACACATACACGAAGGTCTTGTGTCTGTCTCTCTGGCATCAATCAATGGAGGTTATGTAAGGCCATACAAATCTGTTGTCATTCCTCCACACTCTCAAGCTGACATTCCCATCAAAATTTCTCATTGTCAACAAGGTCAAGTTTTCTCTTGGAACCCGTCCCAACACTAAATGACATGGAGCTCCAAGGTGCCAAATGTCTCATTACAAACCATCCCAAATCAGTTTGCATGAGATTACTTAATGCAAGTGACAGCCATGTCACACTGTTTTCTAAAACTGTCATTGCTGTTGCCTCAGAGATTGACCCTACATCTGTCCTTGACCTCCCTGACACGTCTGATTCTGACTCTCCTTCTACAAGTGCTAACACAACACATTCACAAGACATTGAGTTTGATCTCAGCGATGCTGATCTCACACAGGAACAACGAAAACATTTACATGCATTTCTACAATCACAAAGGTCAGTTTTGCCACAGATTTGTCAGACTTAGGACACACTCACTTACATCATCACAAAATAGATACAGGTGATGCCAGACCCATTAGACTCCCTTTTTACAGACAAAATGCAGCCATTAGGAAAGAATGCTCTAGACAAGTACAAGAAATGTTAGAAGCTAATATCATTCAGCCTAGTTCTTCTGAGTGGCACTCTCCTGTTGTCATGGTTAAAAAACGTGACTCTTCTTACCGTTTTGCCGTAGATTATAGACGCCTCAATGCAGTTACCAAGCCCATATTTTTTTCCTCTACCACGTTTTGAAGATGTCGTTGATGCTGTAGGCGATAGCCATGCCAAAATTTTAGTGTCCTTGACTGTGCTAGTGGCTTTTGGCAAATACCACTTCACCCCGAAACAAAACACAAATCAGCATTCATTACACCTGATGGCGTGTTTGAATGGAATCGCCTCCCCTTTGGTCTCAAAAATGCCCCAATGGCTTTTCAGCAAACAATTTCAGAGGCACTAAAAGAAATGAATTGGCGTTACATATTGATATATGTTGACGACATCATAATATTTTCCAAAACCTTTTCGGAACATCTGAGTCACCTCAAGGCAGTATTTCAAAAGATCAGAGAAGCAGGCCTCACTCTAAAACCCAGCAAGTGTAAATTCGCCACAAAACAAGTCACCTATTTAGGTCATATCTTCAGCAAAGATGGCATCCATGTTGATCCTTCAAAAATAGATTCGGTCACACACATCCCACCTCCTAACAATGTCCATGATGTGCGCCATTTCCTGGGCTTGGCATCATATTATCGCAAATTTGTGGCCAACTTTTCTGGTATAGCCTCCCCACTGTTTAACCTTCTGAAAAAAGATGTGTCATTTGAATGGTCTGACCATTGTCAGCAGGCATTTGAAAAGCTGAAACAAGCTCTTACAACTGCACCTATCCTTGCATACCCTGACCAAACAAAGCCCTTCATACTCACAACTGATGCATCACAAACTGCAATAGGGTACATTTTAGGCCAACTTGATTCACAGGGCAGAGAACGAGTAATCTGTTATGGCGGTCGCTCTCTCCACACTACAGAAAAGAATTGGGGAATCACACATTTAGAATGCCTAGCCGTCCTAGAGGGTATCAAAACTTCAGGGTGTATCTTGCCAATGGTTCATTTTCTGTCTACACAGACCACAAGGCTCTTACTTGGCTAAAGAAAACGAAACATGACTCTGGTCGGCTTAGTAGATGGTCCCTGATGCTGCAAGAATATGATTTTGAGATTATACACAGACCAGGCAAATCTAACACAAATGCAGATGCCCTATCTCGCATTGCACATGCAGAACAGGTACATGAACCCAACACTGAAGACATACCTTCCCCACCCATTTCAACAAAACCAATCTCTTCACCATGCCAATATGCACAGGTAGCTGCCACTGCTTCCTCCCCACTCTTACCCACTCCAACTTCACATACCACACCCCAGTCAAGCAACCCCATCAAGCAAGTGTCATTTCCACACCCCGAGAGCAACATGAGGTCTACAACCTCGACTGCCTCTTCTCAACATTATGCTCATTCCAATGCAGGCAACATGAGGTCTACACCCTCGACTGCCTCCACTCGCTATTCTACCCATTTCAATGCAGGCAACATGAGGTCTACACCCTCGACTGCCTCCACTCGACACTCTACCCATTTCAATGCAGGCAACATGAGGTCTACACCCTCGACTGCCTCCACTCGCAATTCTTCCCATTTCAATGCAGGCAACATGAGGTCTACACCCTCGACTGCCTCCACTCGCCATTCTACCCATTTCAATGCAGGCAACATGAGGTCTACACCCTCGACTGCCTCCACTCGACACTCTACCCATTTCAATGCAGGCAACATGAGGTCTACACCCTCGACTGCCTCCACCCGCAATTCTTCCCATTTCAATGCAGGCAACATGAGGTCTACACCCTCGACTGCCTCCACCCGCCATTCTACCAATTCCAATGCAGGCAACATGAGGTCTACACCCTCGACTGCCTCCACCCGCAATTCTACCAATTCCAATGCAGGCAACATGAGGCCTACACCCTCGACTGCCTCCACCCGCCATTCTACCAATTCCAATGCAGGCAACATGAGGCCTACACCCTCGACTGCCTCTGCCCGCCATTCTACCAATTCCAATGCAGGCAACATGAGGCCTACACCCTCGACTGCCTCCACCCGCCATTCTACCAATTCCAATGCAGGCAACATGAGGCCTACACCCTCGACTGCCTCCACGCGCCCATATGCACATTCTATCGAAGGCAACATGAGCTCTACACGCTCAAATGCCCCCTGTCATCCACATGCTCATTCAAAACCAGGCAACGCAAGGTCTACATCCCCGAAAGCCTTATTGCACAAACATCAACAAGGTCGACAATTCATATCTCGTCCCTCAAATCAACTAGTGTCTACATGTTCAGACAAATCACCTTTTTCCTCTCAAGACACTATTCTACAACACACAGATCACGCCAAGTTCAAAACTACATCACATTCAAATACTGACAATCAACGACTTCATTCACACAATGTTTCTACAGAAGACACCTGCAGAGATGACGTGTCATCCTCTATATCTGTAGACTTTGTCTACAAATCAGGTCCAACCCCCGCTGGTCCTATGGTTTTCACTATAGGCACTGATCTAGACGATGAAGGCTTGGCAGAAAAACAACGTAAGTCTTTGGACCTTCGTCCAATCATTGACTACATTGAGAAAGGTGAAATTCCCTCCACCTATACAGATGCTCAAGTGAAGGGTCTTGCAGGCCTTTCCCAGGAGTATGACATTCGTGACGGTATTCTGTACCATTTCTATCATGCCAAGCATAGAGGTCAGAAAAACAACCGCCCTCCCATGGTCACGCAGCTAGCTGTCCCCGTTTGCTGTCGCAAAGAGCTTCTTTTTGCTTACCATGATTCCAAAGCTGGTGGTTGCCACTTTGGACGAGACGCCACACGTCAAACAATACTCACTAAGTATTATTGGCCAGGCCTATACCAGGATATTGAGAATTATATCAAGTCCTGTGATGACTGTCAACGCTCCAAAAGAAGGACAAATGCCAAGCCAGCACCAATGGTGCCTATGCCTATTGAGGACACATTCTCTCGTGTCCATGTTGACATCCTCGGTCCACTACCTGAGACTAAAGAAGGCTACAAATATGTTCTCCTTGCCGTTGATTCCTTCTCTCGCTGGACTGAAGGTTTCCCAATGCGCACTCAAGAAGCATCTGAGGTTGCATCAATCCTGTTTAATGAGGTGTTTTCACGATTTGGTGCTCCTCGTACACTTCTTACTGACCGAGGCAGGCAGTTCACGTCCAAGTTGGTAAATGCCCTCTGTGAACTCTTGGATATCAAACACTATTACACTTCATCCTATCACCCCAAACCAATGGCATGTGTGAGAGGAGGAATAGTGTAATAGAACAGGCTCTCGAACATATGCTGACCCTGATCAAACCAACTGGGCCAAACTCATTCCATGTGTAATGATGGCCATGCGCAATGTACCTTGTCAATCAACTGGGTATTCGCCACACTACCTTCTGTTTGGGAAGGAAATGAATCTCCCTTTTGACACTACCTTACTGCCCAAATCTACTCTTGGCAAGGATGCACAGGGTCATCTGCAAGATCTCTTAACAAACCTCAGTGTGGCTAAATCACTTGCAAAGGACAACATGTCTGCTGCACAGGACAAAAGCAAGGGTCTTCAGGATATCAGAGCCAAGGAACCTTCCTACTCTGTTGGCGATCAGGTTCTAATGACTGATCCCACAGTCAAAACCGGCCTTTCACCCAAACTATCAAAGAAATGGATAGGGCCTTACAGAATCATTCGCATTGGTCTAAACCACACATACAAACTCATGAATGCAAGCACAAACAAGGAACATAAATCATTCATACATGCCAACAGACTCAAGCCTTATACACCTCCCACTCCTCGTATGCAAGTGTCACAACCCACCCAGCATCTGGCAACACCTACTCAGTCAACATCCTCTCAGCCTGACAATGCACATAGACAAGGCTCACAAACAGCTACTCCAACTCCGTCAACATCCTCACAGCCAGACAATCCTATCACAACACAGCACATGTCAAGCCAAGAACCAGATAATGAACCAGACAACACACACCCATCATCTTCCCAACAAGATGATCAACTGTATGCGGTAAAACGCATTCACAAAGCCAAAAAGCGATCAGGAGAAACCCATTACTTAATTGAATGGGAAGGTTACCCACAGCGTACCTGGGAACCAGCCTCTAACCTTAGTCCTGAAATGATAAGTGATTACCACACTTACAGAACCCGATCAGGTCACAGACGAAAACGGAAGCCCAGATATTTTGCAAAATCATAGGTCATGACCTTCCATGGTATTCCTCCTGACAACATGTCATCTTCGGTCAAGGTAGATGAGCTCTGACCAACCCTTACAGGTAATCATATTACCTTGTGTTTTATAAGTGCTACGCTGTGAAATGTTGTGGCCACAACTTTCCTGCATTATGGTCATCCCATCTGACTTGTCCCTTGGTTTCTTGTCTTGTCTTAGGTCCATCATGGGGAGTCACCATCCTTTCGTTACTGCTGATATCTGTGCTTCCTGTCCCGACTGTCCTTTTGCCAGCAATTCTCATCTTTGACTTTTACACACAACATTCTCAACATAACAACTGTCTACTCCTCGAACTCACTTCTGGTCCTGAGTGTGTCACTATTGCCTATTTCTTTCCACTCACACTGTGTCCTTCCTACTGGCGCATCCAACCTCCTTCTGTCATAGAAGACCTTCAACTCTCAGGATATTTCTTTCCCACTCTCACACTCCACTGGCCTGATTTCCATGTCACCAATAAACTGACCCACCGTTCACTCAACATCCCCAAATCAATCTCGGTCTCCTATCTCACTTCCCGCAAATTACGCAAACTCTTTCAGCAACCGTTTACCGCATATATTTTACTAGTCCACCATGGGTATTTTCAAGTTTTGGAACCGACTGGCATGGTCTTTTAAAGGTCTTTTAAAGGGCAAATTGTTAGGGAACGCTAAAAACTCCCTCATCATTCAACCTGTCTCAAGTATATACTATGTATCTTTTCACCTTTTCAGGTTCCTTTTTTACTTGTCCATCTTTTTAAATTGTCCCTGATTTCTTCTACTGCCATGTGTATTTGTATTTCAGGTCAAATAATTGTATTTCAATTCTTGTACCATAATTGTTTTTAAATATACCACCCCTATGTCCATCCTATTTTTGCTTGTTTTGATCATTGTGTATACGTTTGTCAAACGCTATCATGCGCACCTCTTTGATTCTCATTGTACATCTTGGTATTTGTAACCCTTTCCTGTTTTGTAAAAGCTTTTGAGGACAAAAGCTCCACGACGCATAGGGGTATTGTTACAGTGCATATATTTCTTCATACATTTTTATATTTTTCACAAATTATTCATAACAAAGAAAATTCGTATACGTTCAAGTTGCAGTGCATAGTGTGTCTTGTTTATAGCCCCGCGTATCAAGCGCAGTAGTAGGCAATTAGCAAACGCGTCCACGCCAACCTTAAACTAATTAATCAAAGATGAAGCTAGCGAGCTGTGTCGGCTCCGGCCTTTCTTCTCGGGTACATCCCTTGGTCAAGCACAGATAAATAGTCTCATCCCAGCAGGAGCATATCTACCACCAACTAAGTCGTAATCGAAAATCAACTTTTGTTGAACAAGATCGAGATTACCATCATGCCATCCTCTTTGTCCTGTCGTAAAATGCCATGGTCAGATATTTTGTTAAGCAGCTGGCGCAAGCTGACCGTGGCTACACCACAAAGAAAATCAAACCTTGTTAGGTAATCATCTTCTTACCACCCACCTCGTGTAGTATACTTTGTCAGCATAGGGTAGATAACGCATATGGAAACTTCAACTTTATAGAAACTTGATAATGACAAACGAGCAGAGCTGTGGGGTATAAAATCCTGGGTTCTTCCATCTCAGGCACACTTGCTTGAATAAACCCTGGATCTCATAGCTCTGGCTCCTTTCTTGTTTCAAGGTAAGAAACATTTAAACTTTAGTCTTGTTTAACTTGTTATTTCTTTGCAATTATCGTCTAGAAAATGTTAGAGTTAGGTTAGAAACATTCCTACAACATTGGAGCGCTTTGTCATTGCAAATGCTAGTTCTAGATAACCGATTAATTATTAGGCACTACCCAGGGATATTTATTTATGCACATTGCGTCGTGGGCTCCTCAAGTTTATGTTTTCATGTACAAACGAATAGTTCTTTTCTATGTTTCGACACACATGAGTGTATTCCCAGTCTTTTGTCTTGTTTTATTCATTTTGCGTGTTAGTTCTGTATATGCAGGTTAGATTCTCGTTCAGTAGTCTAGATTCTAGTAGCTTAGTCACAAAAACAGTTCCGAGAGTTTATACAATCAATTCCAGCAAAGACGAAGTTTATGTATTTTACTATAGTCCGCCGATCAAATGATATTCGTGTAGATTTACCTCAGATACGCGCTCACATGATAGGTATAACAGCCAACATTTGTATTTTGACATTTCACCAACACTATAATAATTTGAATGATGATGTATTAAACGTTCCGTTACGCGTGCAGTTGTATACCGTACAAAACAGTTTATACGCGAATCACATTACCGTAATCAGTAGAAAATGGTATTGTCTACTCTTCATATTACCAGAAAATATACATTCAAATCCGTGTAGTTTGCAATTACAGTCTTCGTTCCGTATTTGTTTAGCTCCGTAATTTAAGAAATACGCGTAGCCTATGACAACAGCGCCGTCCTAGTACATTATTACATATTCATTTAACTAAGTTACTGTCTTGTTTTGTAAAGCACAAAATGTAGCACTACAGCATTACATATATTCTAGGTCATGGCTTAACTCCGTATATGTCGAAATTACACGTTGCCAATAGCAACATCACCGTCGAAATACATTTACCGTAGTCACCCAAATAATTCAGGATGGGACAAAGTAGTAGAACTCTAGCTAAAACTATATCGTCTGTCCCCGTAGTTACACATATTTATATCACTCTCTAGTTCCACTTACCGTATCTACCGAAATTATTGTATTAAGAAAATTAATGTTAACATTACAGTTAGAAGAATACCGGAGTTAAATGGTATATGTCAAATCTGAGCACTTCGCGCCGTTTACCGTATTTGCTCAAGGCATGTATGTTGATAACGGAAATTACTTACACAAGTCATAAATCGTTACCGTAGCTAATTCATTAAGCGCGACATACCGTAATAATAGTAAATTCCTACCGTAGTCAATACACTAAGCGCAACATACCGTAATAGTCATAAATTCCTACCGTAGTTAACGCGATAGGCACTACATACCGTAATTGTCATAAATCGGTACCGTAGTTAACGCATTAGGCGCGACATAACGTAATAGTCATAAATCCGCACAACAGTTAATGGACCAGGCACATGCTGTAATTAAACTTATGGCGCTCCGCTCAGTACTTGTTCTTTGCAATTGTTGTTTAGGATTAATTTATCCGTCAGGTTATGTTGTTAATCAGTACCGTAGTTGCTCAAGTAAATGTTGTATTATTTGCATTATGTTTCTGTAAGCAGTTACCGTACATACCCTGTTGTACCATACATTGCTTATATTACCGGACTTAGATATAAACTGTATTAGGATATCATTGATTACTATTTCTATTATTGTTTGTCATTATTATGTATGAATTGAGGTATATTGAATGTCATGCAAGCACACTTGCTTGAATAAACCCTGGATCTCATAGCTCTGGCTCCTTTCTTGTTTCAAGGTTTCAAGGCTTGCTCCCTATAGCTAATTCCCCAAATCGAGGCCTGACAGCACCTTTAGCACACATAGCGCTAAAGGTCGTCCTAACGGACACAAAATTAGTTAAGTTCTTCGTCAACATGTTTTGATTTACTAATCAGAGCTGAAAATCCGAATTGTATGCATAAGGAAATAGATCAGTCAGGAGAGGAGCACACTTGGTGCCAATGGGAACGCGGATTTCATGACTTGCTCATTTGGTAATATCTAACTATGTCTGCTGGTTACATAGTTTAGTCAGGGCGATGGAGGTAGCCTAATGACGACCTGCGTTCAATTGCCCACATGATACAACGTGTGAAGCCAATGTCTGGAGTCCTCAGCCGTACTTTCGCTGGAATAATGCTAGAAGCAGCAGAAAACTTCCGCTCCACTCAACTCCGCTCCGCTCCGCTCCACTCCACTCCACTCCGCTGCTGAGGAAACTGCTTGAGAATGTCAAGGCAAAGGTGTGTTGTCCCTCCAGGATAGTACACCTTGTGTCAAAATGGGTGCAATGAATGGCCGTGGCTTCAGACTGGACACCTTTAACCAAACTAGAAGAAAGAACAGCATTATGCTTATAGGGGATCCAGGCACTCCAGCATCGTTGGCAAGAGTTTTGGGACCTTGGAGGGGTTGAGGCTGAGATGCACATAGTACGCAGCTCCATCAAGGCAGTCCGTCAGAGTCAGGGTCACTTTCAGCCGCCACTCGTATTTTCCGTCATACTTCCGAGCCATATTTTACACCATCACTTTAAACCTCGCCCTACTTAATGTATACCAGGCACATAAAGAAACTGTGCATACAAAAATTTAAAATCTAAATTTATCAAACCTGTGTAGACACATAATGATTTAAACTCAGAGATAAGGGACATGTATCCAACATGCATGCACGTACCACGTTCCGTGACGTCAGTGTGTTCGTCCTTGAGACGTGCAATACGTTGTTGCACGTGCATTCCGGGAAAGAGAAACAGAGCAAATGAATGCCACACAATACTGTCACTTTGGAAATCCTAACCCCTGCCCTTGCGATCGTTCAAAAAATTAAACGGCTATTGAAACGCATAGCATGCCAAGGCTCACGTCTGCACAACGTCATGAGGCCATTGGGATGGTCCGTGAGGGAATGTCTCAACGACAAGTGGCTGCACATTTCCACTGCCACCGGAACAACATTTCTGCACTGGTTAGACGCTACCAGAACAGAAATGACGTCATCGATCGGCCACGTTCTGGACGTCCACGTGTAACAACGCCAAGACAGGACATATGGATGTGGGTGACCCATCTTCTCCACACGTTTCAGACTGCAGTGATGACTGCCCAAACCACCCCAGGACTTCGCCGTATCCACCCCAACACAGTTCGACAACGTTTACTTGATCACGGGATCAGACCTCGACGTCCCGCCATACGGCCTATCCTGACACCACGTCATCGACAAGCTCGCCGAATGTGGTGCCGAAATCATGTCCGCAGACCCTTGTTTTGGTGGAGAAATTTTGTTTTAACAGATGAGTCCAGGTTTAACATTTCCCATAGTGATGGACGTCAACGTGCCTATAGACGCGTGGGAGAACGTTATGCACAGGCCTGTGTCTTGGGAGAGGAATCGCTTTGGTGGTGGTTCCGTGATGATTTGGGGTGGAATAACAGCACGCCAAAGAACTCCTTTGGTGATTGTTCAGGGCAGCTTAACTGGTGTGGGCTACAGGGATCAGATTCTTCGACCTGTGGCAATTCCTTTTCTGTAACGTCATGGCCCTGGGTTATTATTCCAACAGGACAATGCCCGCTCTCATACGGCAAGGGTTGCTATGGATTTCTTGCAACACCACACCGTTGACTTACTGCCTTGGCCTGCAAATTCACCGGATCTCTCCCCGATAGAGCATGTTTGGGACGAGATGGATCGACGTCTATGCCGTCTTCCTCATCCGCCAGATAACATCCTTGACCTTGCAACAGAACTTGAGAGAATCTGGCGTGACATCCCACAAGCCTTCCTTGCACGTTTGATAGGCTCTATGCGTCGTCGATGCACTGCTGTTCTCAATGCCAATGGTGGACATACCCGTTATTGAGCTTGTGACATGGTCGTTTGACCCCTGTCCCGCTTGTGGACTCGTGACGTCATTGTGATTGACTTTTCAATTGAAATTCTCCCGACTTGTTAGGGTCTCATGATCCTTCCATTAAAGTTTATATGTACCTTTGACATTGTTATCGTACTTATCAACTGGGATTATATTTTGACAATGCACAGTTTCTTTATGTGGCTAGTATATATCTCCGACCATGCAGAATACAATGTATACGATACTAAAATGTG